AAAAAAAAAAAAAAGAGTGAAAGCAATTGCAGTTTTGCTATGAAGTTATCGGATAGCTCATCGAGTGGCTCGATTTATGGAGCTATTCATAATTATACACAAATAGTGTACTGACATGTATACTATAATAAATATACAATGAATACATATCAATACATAATAATAAAATTATAAATTGTGCTATGAGGGAACCATTTGATGGCTCATAGCATTCTTGGGTGCAATTGAACTCCGTAACCATCTCTGAATTTCATAGGATCAAATTTCTGGATCAAATTTCCTACTTTATTTCCGTTTCCGAGTATTGACGTCCCCCAATTACCAAGATTTTAGGGTTCTTCTCACCAGTTTACCGGCGAGAGCCCAAAGTCTGAGGATCAGCAATTCAGTCACATTCAGCCACGATGCGGCACCGTTTCATCACGGCTCCCTCAGTCTCCGCCCTATTCTTTGTATCTTCCATTTTCATCTTCAGTTCGATAAGCCATCATTTCGGTACAGCTGAAGTCATAACTTTGACCGCCGAGACCTTCAGCGACAAGGTACAGTTTCGGTGATTTACTGTTCTAGTTAGAAATATGTCCTGTAGTTACTCATGGATCATCGAATTTTATGTTTCTGTTAATTATAATTTCGTCATTGCGTTCTCGTCTTAGCTCAGGAATAAATTCTAAGAACAAAATGTCGTCCTAGATTGTTAAAAAGATCAAAGGAATACTTGGATTCATGAAGATTTAATTTCTAGATCAGAATTGTCTTTAAGTCGGTATACGGGTCCGATATACCATGAAAACCTCATCAATCACAAATACGAGTTCAAGCGAGATCGGTTTTTATGTTCTTTTTCAACTAGACCTCTTTATATGCCTTCAATTTCATCCTTCACTTCTTAAGTGCAACTTTCAGCAATCACCATACTAATGCACTTAATGACAAAGATCAAATATGGTGAGTAACATGAAAAATACATGCATCGTGATCTTTATCTTGTCAATTCCCAACTAGTTCAACTTTAAGTCTTTATTAGGGTTAATCCATACAATGCAAAACATCACACCAATTAAGAACTTACATGATCTAGAATGAAATAAACCATCAACTTTATTCTATCGAAACTAGAAAGTTGAAATAATAAAGTTCAAGAAAATATAGAAAATCAACTCTTGTTAAGCTAAGGTAATATCTACAATAGCACTCCTTATGAGGAGCATGCTCATAAAAGACCTGCCTTAGTTAATGGATTCATGATTTTGTATCATAAATTTATTTTTATGTGTTTGATGAAAAATTCGTCAATATGAATGTATCCTTATCAACACTTAATGAATGGTTTCAGTTGTAAAATTAACATGCTAATGGTAACACAATAGAATTTTAGTTGTATTCAATATTTTGTAACCATGTCTTTATACGATGCCTGAGTAGTGAGCTATAAGTTTATGCTCGATACTTTCGCTAATTAGCAATTAATATTGCTAGACTTGGATTGCTTTACTATATAGGCATCAAATAAAACTAGAATTCCAAATGATCACCCAAAGATCCTATTACTGTTAACTGAGTATAAACTCTTATTGGTTCTCGCAATACTGTATAAACTTTTTTGGCTCATTTCAAATGGTTAATAATAAAAAAAATTCATTTGTCAAATAGTTACATTTTGTACGTGGTGTCCAAATATGTACATTTTAACCATATAAAAATTTATCAATCGGTGTATCTTTTGCACATCATAAACTTTATAGTCATTCTTAGGAAAATGAATGAGATAAAACTAAATATATCCCATTCCTCTTATAGTATATACAACTATTGACTTCAGTAATCTCGATACAAAATGGGCATGTACTTAATATAATTGTATCGTAATGGGTGTTAACTTAAAACCAAATACTTCGAAACTACATGGAGATATCATGAGTTCTCTTTCAAAACCAAAAGATAAACCTACTGTAACCTAAAGTCTTCATTTCATCATTTCGATGAAACTTATGTTTGATAGATGTCTCTTATTATTGTCTCATTTGTGAATAACAAGACTCAAACTTTTAGACGATTTGAAAAGAGATGAAAATGTCAATTTATTTATAACATCATCTAAATTTCATGACAATTTATTTTGTGGTGGTTGAGTTAGCATCTGGGGAGTTTCTCATTCTTATTTTGGGAATTTGTATTTACACTCCACAATCTAAGTGAGCCCATTATCAAACAAAACACTATGATGAAATTATAAAAATATTATCCTAAACGTCACTTTTATTATCTTATCTTCCACTTAAACCCAATAATTACCTTATAAAGTTTTGAAAAAGAGTTGTTAGCCACTGTCTTTAGTCCAATCTTACTTATAGGCAAGATAAGTTGGACAATCCCAAATGTTATCCGTCTAAAATTGGACTTATGAAAACATAAGACACACATGGGGTATGTGAGGTATTATGAAGTTCACAACTTTATTAATAACGAACTTAGTCTCTCAATATTGGCTAACGGCAAAAGAAATTGATCATATTTCTTTTACCATTAAGGTAATGACATTAAGTTGGATTCATGTCTTTTAGCACTTACAAATTTGGTTACTTTGTGATAAGAATTTACTCATGAAATACTTAAGAGGCAAACCTAACAAAATTGAGAAGCAAACTTTAGAATGTAGATTCATGAAAGATAAATTGCACATAAAGTCTTTTCTCACTCAAATTTCTTTTTATTACACAACAAAAGAAATACCTTTTGTACAAATTGCCTATATATTGAAAATGAAATTTAGACATGTCACAGTGCTTTCTTATTTTCAGTGTATCTTCACTTCTTCAGTGATATAAAAGTAAAAAATAGATTATTTATCAAATATCCTTAGAGGGACCTCTTACATTTTCTAACAAATCAATGTTCCAAGTAATAGTCAAATATTATTCCATAAGCATATAATTATTTATAGGAAAGTTCTATATTGACAAATGACTTAAGGTAAGACAACACCACAATACTAACATTGAAATTTATGTTATGCATAAGTCTGGGTAAACAGGCTAAGGGGCACTTGACAAGACACCAGAGTAATATGTACGCTCAGTGTACCATGATGAGTTATACAGATGAATTAAAAAAAAAACTCTTGCTGGAGCATGTGAATAAAATACTTGCTAACGAATAAAATACTGGCGCTGTAATGAAATTGTGGGGAAAGAAAATGTTAAATTCATGATTAATGTGATACGATGTCTGAATCTTGAAGAATATCTGTGAATTGTTCAAGAATTTAAAGGCCTTTGTGTGATTTATTTAGGTGCAGGAGAAAGATACAGCATGGTTTGTCAAGTTCTGTGTCCCTTGGTGCAAGCATTGGTAATTGAAATTCTCATCCTTTCTCACATTCTCCATGAAGCATAATGGATGTCATGTTATTGTTGGCTCTGGGTAAATGAATGAAATATTTTTTTCAGCAAAAACTTGGGGACATTATGGGAGGATTTGGGGAAGGAGATGGAAGGTGAGGATGAGATCGAGATTGGAGAAGTTGATTGTGCGACAGATAAACCAGTTTGTTCTAAAGTAGATATCCATTCATATCCTACATTCAAGTTATTCTATAATGGAGAAGAAGTTACAAAGTACCAAGGTAACAGTTTATCTTTATTTTCCTTCTTCCTTTTTTCTTTCTTCCCTGGAAAACAGAAGACTATGGATAACAATGTTGAACTTTCTAGAGAGCTACGGCTCAAGTTGGATTTTGCGGAGGAATAAATTATTAGAATAAATGATATCATGAAACAAATATCATAATGTGCCCCTTTGGGTTTGCACTAAATAATTTATGCATACCAAAACATGAACATTGGAGGAATTATCACATTGGATAAGACCTGTCTGTAAACAACTAAACCATAATGTTATTGATGGCATTTTACTACTAAAATGGTTATACCATTTTCCCTACGTGTCGACACCTCTTGTACAATTATGTCCAGAAATGAATTCCAACTTCTTAAACTGTGTCCCATTTTATCCTTACCTTGTGAAAGGATAAGACATTATATTCAAGCTCTATTTGGAAGTTAACTATCTATATAAGAATTTATCATATGTTTTGCCAGCAGATTCTCCCTTTTCGAGAATATTAGTTGTATTGTCAGTAACAGAGGCTGAGTGGTCAGAGATAGGAGCTGGGTTCCACTTTCTTTGAGTTTGCTCAAGCTATAGCACAACTTTTATATTGCATACTCCATACTTTTTCTTATGCTCATGCTTTATTTCTACTAATGAGGCCTTTTTTTCTTTTTTTTCTTTTTTTTTCCAGAATGTTGACCTCCATTATATTCATTTGTCAATTTGTGTTGTGCTTATTCTTGAATCTTCTAATTACTATTAATGTTGGTCAATAGTATTATGTGATTCATAACATCTTGCTTCAGAACTTGTTACACTAATGCTTCCACACTTTTGAGTTTATTCTTCAGATATTTACTACGACATATCTTGTGGCAAGTTTTGTTTGCCTTCATACAAAAGCATTTACGTTCTGCTTTATCCTGATCAGACTTCGTATTTTTGTGGATCCTACTTGCTTTCTATACGTCTCTCGTTACCTTAAAATTCTGCGTTAGTAGGAGATTTAAATGTGTAGAGCAAAACAAGAATGAAGTGCTTTTGTAAACGAGAAAACACGAGATCTTATGACGTAATTTATTTGTGAAAAAACATGGCACTTAACATGGTATTAGACTGCTGTACTTTGTTTATATACTTGTAAAATTGTTGGAGAATTTGGCAACTATAGCTGGTGCAGGTAATATTCTTTGTAAACCCTTCAGTGTAATTTTCTATTGTTGTGGGTGTGTGGTTATCAATAGGCTTGATGGCAATTGAGAGAAGTCTGCATTGATAAGTTTTGGGGTTTTCCTTAGTCTTCAATAATGAAAATGCATGGAAGTTGCAGACTGATGCTGGTGCTTGACTATGACCATTGGCATAAGTTTCGCACTTAAGCTCATGCAATACTATACTTGATTTAACTTGCAATGAAAAATTGAACGTTGCAGGAGCGAGGGATGTTGAATCACTCAAAACCTTTGTTCTTCAAGAAACAGAAAAGGCAGTTAAAAAAGCACAACTTGATAACGATGGCGAGCTATGATAGATTTTCCCCGGCACATACAATGACACGTGTCGCATTCTATTTCTTTTGCCGATTTGGTAGGTTTTGCCTGGCCAATTCAACACCAAAGTTGCCTTATTGCTACAGTCTCCAACCACACATTTTGGGTGCAAATACAAAGTTCTGTGCCGGCCCTTATTTGCTAGACTAATTTAGAATATGTACTTGGACAAAAAATTTTGTTTTGCGAGTTCCCACAGACGATTATTTTGTTTCTTCTATTACAATTTATGTATCCTAGATCGAATTATAATTGTACTGTATTTCTTTGAAAAGGATACATTTATTGAAGTTATTGCCGGATGAGAATTTGAATGCAAAATAGCCACTTCCAGTTCAGCTGTTACTATAACTGTTAGTAGCAATTGCTCTTCAAAATAACCGCCATTTTCCAAAACAGTAATCGAAGCTATTAGTTTCAAACTTCAGTACAACTGAATTCCTTAAATATGTACCAAAAGAATACACAATGGTGAATTTGCATATATCGAGGTGATATCAAGTGCAAATATATTGAGGTGATACATTCAGATGGGAACACATGTTGTGATGTAGAAGTGAGTTTAATATATCAGATTTATGATTCCAATACATAAATACAAACTAAAAAGCATGAAAAAAAAAAAAGGTTTGAATTTTATGAAGGTGTTACTCTTTCGGGGAAAAATGATAATAAAGCTCACTAACCAATTTCAAACCTTAATCAATGCCTGCCAGGTTCTCTATTAGCTGCTATTTCAGGAACTCACCTATAAGTAAAGCATTTAAAAACTGCATGAAAAACGAAAGGTTTAACAGAAATTAAGCAAGTCACCAAGGTTTACATCTCATCCCAAAACACAAAGAAAATCCAACCACTACCAATACCAAAACCCCATACCATTTTACCAGTTCAAAAACTTAACAGAAAAAGGACAACAAAACTAAGCATGAATGGAACCAAAAATCAGCAGAATCATCATCTCTCGGAAAACACCTTCACTTGGCGCCTTTCTTGGCAGCGGCCTTGGTCACCTTGGCACCCGAGGCGTCCTTCTTCTCGACACTTTTGATGACACCAACAGCAACAGTTTGCCTCATGTCACGAACGGCAAAACGTCCAAGAGGTGGGTACTCAGAAAAGGTCTCGACCACCATGGGCTTTGTGGGAATCATCTTGACAAAGCCAGCATCTCCATTCTTCAAGAACTTGGGCTCCTTCTCGAGCTCCTTACCAGATCGCCTGTCAATCTTGGTCACGAGCTCAGCAAACTTGACAGCAATGTGGGATGTGTGGCAGTCGAGCACCGGTGCATATCCCTGTCCAATCTGGCCAGGATGGTTCATGATGATCACCTGAGAGGTGAAGTTGGCAGCTTCCTTAGCGGGGTCCTCCTTTGAGTTTGAGGCCACATAACCACGCTTCAGATCCTTCACCGCAACATTCTTTACATTGAACCCAACATTGTCACCTGGGAGAGCCTCCTGCATAGCCTCATGGTGCATCTCCACCGACTTAACTTCAGTGGTCAGACCAGATGGGCCGAAAGTCACCACCATCCCAGGCTTCAGTATACCTGTCTCCACACGACCCACAGGTACAGTTCCAATACCACCGATCTTGTACACATCCTGAAGAGGGAGACGGAGGGGCTTGTCTGATGGCCTCTTGGGCTCATTAATCAAGTCAAGGGCCTCAAGGAGGGTTGGGCCCTTGTACCAGTCCAGGTTGGTGGATCTCTCAATCATGTTGTCACCCTCAAAACCAGAAATCGGCACAAAATGGATTTTTTCAGGATTGTATCCAACCTTCTTCAGGTACGAAGACACTTCCTTCACAATTTCATCATACCTAGCCTTGGAGTATTTGGGGGTGGTTGCATCCATCTGCATATAGCAATTACATAAATAATCAAGTTAGATCATGTAGTATGAAAGAACTAAAACAGAATGACTTGGGTGTGAAAGGCATCTTACCTTGTTGCAACAGCAGATCATTTGCTTGACTCCAAGAGTGAAAGCAAGCAGAGCATGCTCACGGGTCTGACCGTCCTTGGAAATACCGGCTTCAAAACCACCAGTGGTTGAGTCAATGATGAGGACTGCACAGTCAGCCTGAGAGGTACCAGTAATCATGTTCTTGATGAAGTCACGGTGTCCCGGGGCATCAATCACAGTGCAGTAGTACTTGGTTGTCTCAAACTTCCAGAGGGCAATATCAATTGTGATACCACGCTCACGCTCAGCCTTGAGCTTGTCGAGCACCCACGCATACTTGAACGACCTCTTGTTCATCTCAGCAGCCTCCTTCTCAAACCTTTCGATCACACGCTTGTCAATACCACCAAGCTTGTAGATCAGGTGGCCGGTCGTGGTTGACTTCCCAGAGTCGACATGGCCGATGACCACAATGTTAATGTGAACCTTTTCCTTACCCATGATGGATTTCTAGTAACTGCAAGTTTTGAATCAAAATATTACTACTTTGCATTCTCATCAACACAAGTCATAGATCAAAAAACTAAAATGACTAGACAAGATTTAATGAACAACGAGAACAGAAAGTGTGCAATCAAATGTACCCACAAATCAAAAGCCTCAACTCAGAATGGGCAAGGATAATATCACAACATACAACAGAGCATAGCAAAAATCACGACCAATACTTGACATGAGCAGTCATGGAGACAATCAGACCTTAATAAATTCTCATGCATAACAAAATAATGAAAGTAAATATATAGAAGCACCTTCAATTTATACTTCACATTAACAGCAAACACAACTCAAATTCACTTGTAATTTTGTCACAGATCACAGGCTGATTGAATCATAACTTGAACCACAACTTTACATAACTTATAATGTAAATCAATACGAATCCCTGCGATCAAGCTTCAAATAACGAATCAATGGTTACATGTCACTGAAATCAAAAGTATCTCTAAATGTACAATGAACGGCTTCAGAAAACAATAACAGGCATCGAAAAAAAAAAAAAAATCCTGCAAAACCTTGAAAAGCTTAAGCAAATTCCAATATCCAAACATCAAACAGATTACAGCATCCGAACATAAAACCAAAGCTTAAGCAAATTTCAATATCCAAACATCAAACAGATTTCAACATCCAAACATAAAATCAGCATGTAAAGGCATAAAGAACACAAACGAAACAACAAATTATCACAAGTTCGGAAGAAAGGCGAAGAGATCTAACCTCTTCGAGCGTAACCCTAAGGGAGAAAAGGAGATGTCGCCAAAGCTAAGCAGCAAAATGCAGATAGGTAGAGAAATGAAATATCACTCTCGTACGCTTTATATAGCGAGCTGAAACACGAGAAGTAGGGTTTACTCTGTTCTGTGCTCTTACGTAAGTGCCCTTGAAAAACTGAACTTAATTTTGAAACCCTAATTTAAGTCGACATTAAGCTAACGGATGTCTCATTGATTAGCGACAGGCGGCCACAGTGAAGCCCTCTTCACACGTAGTGATCACAATTTGCCCAAGTAAATACCCAAAATCGAACCGATCATCGAACCGTTGAAGCTACCGGTTCATAATTCACTAATCGGACTAATGGTCAAACCGTTCGAACAAGTTTAATTGAATATATAATTTTTTATTTATTTTATATGTATAATATATAATTTTGTGTATTTTCATCATTAATTTTATAGTGTATAATGATATTTATCTAAATAAGAATTCACAATATATGAATTGTTTTTTAATAAATAACAAATTAGAACACACACATAATAATTGAATTGTTTTTGGGAAACTTCTCCTAAAATTCCTAAAACTCTTTTCAACTTCTTTCTTTGTCTATATGTTTTTTTTTTTTCCTTTGAACTTCATACCCCATAATTTTGTTCCACTTAACTCCATCTTCATAAAATAAATAAAAAATAAGTTAATTTATTACATTACACCATTATCAAACTAACTGTAGAAATTATTTTATTGTTTCCTTTTTTCTTTCTCTTTCCATATATTCGTTTATTATTTTCATTTTATCATCTTCTACCATTTATCTCTCATAATATTATTTTTTTCTTAATTTTTTATTAATTAATATAAATTTATTTTTGTATATACTATCCAAATAAAAAAAATTATATTTACTAATCTTTATTTCATATAAATCTATATTAACTAAATCTATATTTTTGTCTTTCTAATTTATTACGTAAATATATTAACATTTGTACAATAGAAAAACCAAAATAATTTATTTTTATATTGTAAATTTATGTATAATGAATATAAAAAGAAATAATGAACGATCCCTTCTTAGTTTCTTCGTTCTCTTCGTCGTCCTCTCGCGATTGTTGGGTCCTTATTGCTTGATCTCTAGCAAATGATGGCAATTTGTTCATGCTGCAAATGATGGCAATTTGTTCATGCTCAATCTCTGTATACTGATAAATAACTTCTCATAGGTAACTTGGATTAACATTTTAAAAATAGAATAAATTACAATAATTTCAAAAGGTCATATTATAGAGGCTGCAATTTTTTAGCCCCGATTAAAAATTGCAGGGTTAGGCTTCTTAAACTATCAGGTTCGAGCATGTAACAATTCAACATCATAAAATAAATTTTGTTCCTTTCTTTCCTCTTCTAGAATCCCAACCAATAACATACAATTTCTACAAAACTTATATCAGTTTCTGTTTACATTCAAGTGGCCGATTATCAACCACAGCGTGCTAAAACTAGAGGTACAAAACGAAACAATACTGTGAAATAGATTGACTAGCAAAACAAAAACTGCATCCGGCATCTATTGATTCTTTTTTATCTTTAGATTGGAAGAATTGGAAGAAGAGAAACTGGAAGAAGACGAGCGTTGATCTTGGTAAGAAGCTCTAAGTATAAATAGAAACGTCTCGACCAGCATTGCACCAACCAATCCAAGAATGCCACCGGCAGCATTCTAAAAATCAAACAAGGCCAGTATCAATTTATCGATAAAATTACAGTGCAAATGGCAGGGAAGATAGATCCCTTTTTATCTAGATCAATTACTAGTTTGTGAACATAAGTAAAAAAATTGTAATTCCTATGAAAAAGTTACCATAGCAGGACTGCTGCCGAACAATGCCCTGAATGCTGCGTATCCAAGTAAGTATCCCGTGAACATTGTTACCACCACATGCAATCCTGTAAGAAGTGAAGAATTTTGGCTATCTCAATCCGTTATATATCAGCATGAGTACCCCTTTGGCATTTTGAAAGCTTCGATGCTATTCGCTTGAGATTCACAGCTTCAACAGGAAAGATGGGGCTACCGAAATTGAGAACAAAAGTGTGCAAAAGCAAATGTCGTACCAACTATTGCAATAACATAATGACAAAAATGGACTGAAGAAAAAATTTGAATATCATGTAACGAGAAGTAATTATGTCTAAGAGAAACGAAATGAATAAACCAACTAAGTGGAGGAAAAAATAAGTAGAATAAAGAGACTCAGACGCAACAAATAAATTAGAGGCACAACGGAATTCAATTGTCTCTGACTTGCTTTGGGCACTTGTAAAATTAGAAAAATTTGTGGAGAAATATATGTTGTACAGTACAACTTTCGTGAAAATATAAATTCATTTTCGACAGGCAACTGAACCAAACTGGTTAACAGAGATAATTGGATATAAAAGCTCAAGTTGCTAATGGAAGCACTT